TTATTATTCATAAATATATTGATTAAACATGTTTCTCTTTTTTTCCTTTTTTGATACACAATCTTTTGTGAGTATTATATAGATAGATTGATATATGAACACAATGAAAAGATAGATAAATAGAAAGAAAGATATGAACAGTCTGGCATAGATAGATAGATAGATAGATAGATAGATAGATAGATAGATAGATAGAAAAAACTGGCATAGATAGAGATATAGAAAGATATGAACAGAAGGACATAGATAGATAGATAGATAGATAGATAGATAGATAGATAGAAAAAGACTGACATAGAGATATAGAAAGATATGAACAGAAGGACATAGATAGATAGATAGATAGATAGATAGATAGATAGATAGATAGATAGATAGATAGAAAAAGACTGACATAGAGATATAGAAAGATATGAACAGACTGACATAGATAGATAGATAGATAGATAGATAGATAGATAGATAGATAGATAGATAAGAACAGACTGACATAGATATGAACAGAATGACATAGATATATACATAGACAGATGGATATAAACAAATGAACTATTATAGATAGATAGATAGATAGATAGATAGATAGATAGATAGATAGATATGAACAGACTGACATAGATATGTGTGTATGTGCGTGCAAGATCAGAAGGACGAGAGGTCTGACGCTCAGCGTAAAAGATAGCAAGAATGAAAAACTATGCAAACTTGTTGGAGATCAAATGACGTCTGTAAGCAAAACTATTTCCAAAAGTCAGGGTAGATAACTATTAACGAAGGAGAATATGCAGAGGGTAAAATACAGTTGTCCAGCCCCGCTTTGACAACAATATGTGTGAGAGAGCGTGAACGCGGTTCGAATGGAAGGAGCATAAAAGAAACACGCCAAGACGGAAAGGCCAAACGAGAAGCGGGAAACGAGAGTTAGGAACTTGCATAAGCGGTAAGCCTAATACGCAAGATGGACGGCTGAGGCAGTGGCTGATAGATACATGCACGCAACTGTGACTCATTCAGGGCTTCTCTGTCACCTGACAGGCGAGCGGAGGCCAGGGTTGGAAGGAGGCCAATGCTGCTTAAAGTTATAGCGAGACATTTACTCACGAATCGAAATAAACGAAAACGGTAGTTTGGGGAAAGCCACTGACCATTTCTCATCTGGAAGGCTTGCCTTCTTCCTTATATGATTCAAGTCTTAGGCGTCCACTCTTATAAGCTTTTTCTTATGTTTATATACGTCATTACTCCTCGCTTTCAATTTCTTTCCCATCTTTCTCTTTGCCCATCTCTCTTTCTTTCTCTCCCTGTGACTGTCTAACGCTATTTCCTCGCGGCTTTGATTGATTACCATTATATGCAACTCTGAAAGATTTTCGGATATTTTCGAGGTCCCACAGAAAATTATAACGTACAATAATGTGGAATAAATGAGAAAATAAAATATGACATAACAAAGTATGTATATATAAACTGTGTGCGTCTCTGTGTGTGTATGTGTGTGCGTATGTTTGAGAGAGAGAGAGAGAGTCCGCGCGAATATTTCAAGTGCCAACCTATATAGTTTTATGTATATGCATCCATACATATATATCAGTGCATTCCTACACAGTTGTAAAAATATATGAAATATATATGATCATAAAAGTGTATGTGTGCATATATATATATATATATATATATGTGTGTGTGTGTGTGTGTGTGTGTGTGTGCGTGTAATAAGATAAAGAACATATATATGTGTGTATTAATATATAAACATAAATATTTCACGCGTCTGCAAATGTAGAAAGATTTCAAAAAGATAAACATGTGCCCACCCACACTCATACACACACACACGTACACACACACATATATAAATATATATATATATATATATATATATATATATGTAGCTATATATATGTATATATAAATATGTAACTATATATATATATATATATATATATATATATATATATATATATATATATATATATATATATATATATATAAAAATATATATAAACTTACAGGAAGAGAATTAAATTTCACTACGGTAAACAAGCAATCATAGAACCAAATAACCAAACTAGTGCACAGAAACATACACACACACACACACACACACACACACACACACATATATATATATATATATATATATATATATATGCACACACACACACATATATATATATAATCCTATATGTCTATATATAGGTATATGTATAGATAATCTTTAAAATATACATATATACAAATACATCAGGTAATGCTCATATATATATATATATATATATATATGATCTTTGTCTAATATATTGAAATTATGATGAATCATTTCAATTATCTGTTCTTTTACGTACGCGATTTAATTAATATGCACCGTGTTCACATATTCTAAGAATAAAGGAATTCAAATGCGTATTCATTAGTCCATATGTGCTTGGATACACAAATACATACAATAATACGTACCTACATACATACATACATACATACATACATATGTATAGACATACTTAAGGTTTCTCATACTTAACGTTCCAAATATTAGTTACGCACGCACGCACACACACACACACACACATATATATATATATATATATATATATATATATATATATATATATATATATATATATATATATATATATATTGTATTCGTTCAAATTTCGAGTTATATATGCGTAATGATATGTTCATAGTTAAGTCCAAATGAATGCGATTATCTTTCGTGGTTATGGCAGTGAATTGCTGGGTCTGAGCAAATTAAACAAATTCGTCCGGCCACTCAAGTGTTTTTCCCAGACCACTCATGCAAATGTCTGTAACTCTTTTATTTGCTCGTCATGCCGATCTTAAAATATGAATGCTTACTATTCGTGCACATTGCTTCCAGGTAATGAGGCTCAAAGGAATTAACAACGTGGCCGTGTATCGTTAGAAGAAGGACTCACAAACGGGGATTAATGTAAACACATGACTCGTCCGAATAACCTTCCTGGAAAATCTTCCCTCTCCTGGATAGCATTTATGCAGAGTGCCGACAGCAGTCCAGTTGCAAGGAAGAATAATTCCGTATATTGCTTAAAAGCCTCTTTCTCGGTGAGAAATTCCTTGCTAGAGTCTAGCAGCATATCCTTAAAAGAAGACATTTATTGTGGTCAATGCTTTGGCAAAAATAACTATGTTTATTTATTTTAGATACTGAGAATCAATAAGGTGCTTCACACCGTCTCATTTTTTTTCCTCACTCGGACTATTAGCATCAAGAATTATAGAGGATTTCTGTGTTCTTGACTGATATTGCAGGCTTAAAGCCATGTCGACGTTGAAACACCGCTTCTCGTACGTTTACCGAAGTTAAGCAACGTCTAACCAGGTCACTACCTAGATGTGTGACTACTTGGAAATATCAAGCATAAGTGCTGATGTTGTAATAAATAACGGCTTTCTTTTTTTTTTTTTTTTTTCTTCCACATCCAATCGGGTTCCTTATATTCATTACGCATAAATACCCTTGGGATGCGTATGAACCTACATTTTCTCCAGCCTCCCAGATATGGATTAATTAGTAGGACCTGTATCAGTAAAACTCATTATTATTTCTGAAAATTTCGTAAAATCTCAAATATTATTCCGGCTTTAAATAACCTGAAAATGTTTGACAAGCCGTATAAAAATCAATCAATATTTATGATACTTGAAAGAAATTTAGTTTAACAGAATATCTAGGATAGATAATGGTTGACTCTAGACTTGAAGCGGTTAAGATTGTAGCGATCGGGGAAACATCTTGTTGGCCATCCGCTCCTCAATCTAGCAGTTCTGGGAAAGAAACTGTCTGAAAGAAACTTCCTCCTTACTAATGGTATACGAAGAGAATGAGAACGATCCGTTTCAGTGTACGTGACTTGGCGGTTCTTAGCTCTAAAGTTCTAAAATGGTGGAACTAATGAATGTATTTTCTCAAGACATTTGCCAAGAAAATAGCGATAGAATTAGCGAGAGGCTTTTGGCGATATGTCTGTCGGAAAAGAGGTTGTCGCTGGGTAAATAATTCCTCATTCACAAAACCTCCTAGACGCTTTTGAACGTTTTCAGGTCTGGAACATGAGGACTGAGCATATCAAGGCCAGGTATAGCATCAATAATTCTTTTTTCTTTTCTTTTGATCCCATTTGATTCTTGTAAAGATAGACCATGGCAGGATGAGTCAGGCATTTTTCTAAAGCGGTTCAAGGAACAGACTGATTTTAACTTATTTCTCAATATCTAACTTTTAATGAGAATTCATGCAAAAATTCGCCATTTTTTTTAATTGTATTTACAATCAGGATTCGAAAGATATTTAGTTTCGCTTTGAATTTCAAATAACCCCCAAAGTTGTCCTTTGTGAAGATGTTGCAACTATTATCAACCTTGAAAGTTAAATCAAATTAGAACCGAATTTTATTCTCATTTCGTCTGTTGCGGTCACTTTCACAGAAATGACGACTGAAAAGTAATGAATCCATCACTTTTCTCCACTATCTATGGGTTAAATAGTAAGATAGACCGGTCTCTAGGCGTGGCATAGAGCCGATTTACTCGGAATTCAAGACCATGAAGATAAATATTTAATCTGAACCAAATCGGTTAGAGTGTTGTTCGGACAATATCGTAGAAGAGACATTTTTCTTAGACTAGTTCTTTGCAATGATTTTTGCTTATTCGTGCAGTTTAGAGTGTTTTGAACTCTTTTCTACTTGCTAAATATGGATATTTTTTTGTTCAAGGTTTGCTTTGAAACGCCTTAACTGATAGCAATCATATTTAGCTGTTGTTATTGGAATTTCTTTTAACAGCTTCTAATAAAAGATTCCTTGCATATCCCACCAGTGAGAAGGAAAAGTTTCTTATTTTTCTTCTATGACTTTCCAAATCTTTCTATCTCATTTAGCAAAGAAGAGCAGGATTACATCCAAGAAACAAACACCCACCTGTAAATCTTTGCGTTCTTGTAATTAACATGATGGCTTGCGGCCACATCACGTTGAAACACCGGCTCGCGTACTTTTACCGAAGTTAAGCAACGTCGGGCCTGGGTAGTATTTAGAAGGGTGACTGCTTGGGAATACCAGTGCTGTAAGCTTGGATGTGTGTAATAGATAATAGCTCTGAATTGTTAATCGCTGAGCCGAATTTTTAATTCCCGCGCAAATATCCTTGGGAAATGTATGAATCCACCTCTCTCCACCAAGATATGGATTAAATAATAAGACTTATTTCATTAAAATAATTACCTCCTCACCCCCAAAAATGTATAAAAAATATTTAAATTTCGACATCAGAGTTTGGTATGCTGCTAAACAAAAGAACAAACCAACATCGTATTTAATATAGCTGAGTATTGTTCCGAAGCTAGATTCTCCGGAATTAAATTAGAGGACTCGCATTTCCAACAGATATATAACAAGTATTTCTTTGGGTTAAGATCTGTTTGGGTTATGGTTAATTTTGGTTCTTTCTGGGCTGAGGTCTCGCTCAAAGATCAAACTTTATGGAGAGTTTTGACCCGACACGCCATGAATGGAAATAGTAAATAAAAAAAAGAAAAGTTTCATTCTCACTGGAAGGCATGGGTAGTATATTTTGTTCTTAATCATTTCACCCCAAGCAAGACGATAAAAGACACTAAGAAAGAAAGAAAAAAGAAAGAAATAAAAAAGAAAGAAAGAAAGAACAATATAATGGTAACAAGAGGGAATAAATCGAACGAAGAAAGAAAGAAAGAAAGAAACTAAGAAAGAAAGAAAGAAAGACACTAAGAAAGAAAGAAAGACACTAAGAAAGAAAGAAAGAAACTAAGAAAGAAAGAAAGAAAGAAAGAAAGAAAGAAAGAAGGAACAGTATAATGTTAACAAGAAGGAATAAATCGAACGAAGAAAGAAAGAAAGAAAGAAACTAAGAAAGAAAGAAAGAAAGACACTAAGAAAAAGAAAGAAAGAAAGACACTAAGAAAGAAAGAAAGAAAGAAAGAACAGTATAATGGTAACAAGAAGGAATAAATCGAACGAAGAAAGAAAGAAAGAAAGAACAATACAATGGTAGCAAGAAGGAATAAAAACGAACGAAGAACGACTGAAAAATTAATATTTGAAACATGGCCGACATAGTGAACTGCTCCTAAGTGATACGAAAGTAAAAGGAAGAATAAATCCCATTATGAGGATATATTTTGTTTGAAATAATATCGCTTATTGCTAAGCAAATGTCCAGAGTGTTACACGTGAGAACATGTTATTTTCACCATGATTGATATTCAAATAACTTACCGGTTCAATCAACACCGCTTCGATTTCTCTAAGAAACAGAAATATTGGAAAATGATCACTGAACGAAAATGTGTCATTGTTATGACACATTTTCGTTCAGTGATCATTTTTGGGGGATTGAGCTGAATTCCGACTGAGCTGAATTCCGACTGAGCTGAATTCCGACTCAGCTGAATTCCGACCCAGCTGAATTCCGACTCAGCTGAATTCAGACTCAGCTGAATTCCGACTCAGCTGAATTCAGACTGAGCTGAATTCCGACTCAGCTGAATTCTGACTGAGCTGAATTCCGATTGAGCTGAATTACAACTGAGCTGAATTCTGACTGAGCTGAATTCCGATTGAGCTGAATTCCGACTGAGCTGAATTCCGACTGAGCTGAATTCTGACTGAGCTGAATTCCGACTGAGGTCTAAGTAAAGTGTCTTTTTTTTACAGTATATTATGAATTTTTAAATTTCCTCAGGTTCTACATGAAAACGAGAATTAGTAGAAACATTTTAATTATTCATCCGATATTATTTCAGCTTATTTTGCCGAAAGAAAAACATTATAAACGTTAATGTTTATCAGGTAATGATGGTTAGAATCTAGGCCTTAGATTCTAGGAAATAACTACTAAAAATCCTCCACCTCCCAAAATCTATAGACCAAATCCTACACATTCATATCGGGACTGGGTACATTGACGTGGTGTAATGGTTAGAAAGCTTGTCTCGCTAGAACAATTACGAGTGAGTATTGAGTTCGATCCGCACTGGGTGCCCCATACTTTCGGCGTTGTGCCACATCTAAGCTACGCTTGGAAACTCATTTAGTGTGTAAACCCCTCTTTTCAGGGGTGTATAACACATCTATTTATCATCACTCAGTTGCGTCTCTGTCTTTGGGTAGAGTGCACCCAGGGGCAAGTGAGAAACCTTATACTGAGAGGTATCCAGCCCTGGGGAACAGCTGCCCGAGGCCGCGCCCTCTCATTGCACTAGAGAGAGGGATCGTTGCACGCATCGAGGTCAGCGCAACCGACGGTTGCGGGGGCTGCGGGCTATTTTTTGTTCCTAGCCCGGGTGTACGTGCTCGGGTGCCCAGCTTAAAAAAGGACCTTGTGTCACAACTCGTCTTAGTGGGGAGAGATAGTAAATACCTAATGGTTAGCAAGCTTGTCTCCCTAGATTAGTTACAACTGAAAAGAGAGTTTCGGCCTTGTGCCACATCTAAGCAACGCTTAAAAAAATAACCATTCATACTGGGATTTCTTCTTAGTAAATAAATATGGACACTTCTTGATCTAAACAAAATATGGTTTCTGACTTTAACAGGATGTAAGTAATAATGTCTCTGCATAGCTTAAATTAGAAGTGGACAAACTACGGCCCGTGGGCTACGTCCGGCCCGTTGATCTTTTTAATCTGCCGGCCGAAGATTGACAGAATTATAACTGAATTCCATTCACCTTGTCCTGTAATTCCTGGCTTCCAACTAGGTGGCACATTCGCCGTATTTACAAGCGCCACGGAACGACTGCACCGCGGTCACCGAAGCTGCCACTAATATCACGTCTCATTTGCGTCCCCGATGCTGGTGTTGTTTGGCACTACTTATGTATGTGAACAGACTTTTACTGTGATGAACACTAACAAAGCACCCCACAAATCCCGGTTGAGTGATGAACACCTCAGATCTGTTCTGAGACTTGCCACAACATAACTAACTACAGACTTTGATGCCCTGGCAATAAAAGAGTGATCAAAAACACTGTTCCCACTGAAACTTAGTGTAAGTATTAACACTGTAATGTTTTTTTTTTCTATTTATGTATGACATGTATGTATCGGATGCTGACCCGGTCCCTCTGTCAATTTTTAAGTCAACGTGGCCCCTGAGCCAAAAAGTTTGCCCACCTCTAGCTTAATGTCTACTCTTGCTTGCTTTTTATATTAGGTTGGTGCAAAAATAATGACGTAATAATGTCGTTTTTTACGTATTTTTAACGTCGAAAAACGACATTATTACGTCATTATTTTTGCACCAACCTAATATATCATTGTGACACAATTAGAATAATTATTATGACAAATTACTGACTTTTATTCTTGTAATTTTCTTTGGATATAGCAAATTTTGTCAGCGTATTCTTTTTTTCATTGATCCTCCATTAGAACCTTAGTGAATTAGTAGCATAGTACATTGTCACAGTATTAATACCATAGTACATTGTCACAGCATTAGTACCATAGTACATTGTCACAGCATTAGTACTATCAGGTTTTCAAACAACCCACTTATAGATATATCAGTTACTTTTTAATTTCCTTGTTATACAGAGTACAGTGGAAATAGTTCCCACATATACCTTCCAGAAATACTTTCCACCTTATGGTAAGACATTAGTGGCAATGGTGTCTTCATCTAGCTAATGGCTTACCATTATGTAGGACGTATTTCTGCCGCACCCTGTATATTCTTTGCTGTGTTCTTTCTAATTTTATAGGACGAATAAAAAAAAATTAAAAGTTTTTTATTGTGAAAAGCCAAATTAAACAGCCAATATTAAAAAAAATGAATTTCTCGACTGGTGCAACTTGGCAACGCTAATGCACTCCAAAAGGTAGACAGTTGTGCCCGAAGTTAGCAGAAGAATAATTTATTAATTATTTTTATATTTAAAAAAAAATAAATTAAAAAGCTAGAGACGCCAAGCAATGTAATGACTTAAAAATAAATGCTTATTTCAGGAGACTATTATTTTCCTATTTTCAAATTTCATGACCAATTTTACTATCTGTCTATAATTCTGAGATGAGGTATTATGTACATTATTTACATTATTCGGACTATTGTCCTCATCTTTTTCGCCATATCTATCACAACGTTTCGGCCGTTGTACGCTCCGGCCTTCTTCAAGTGGTTGGAATGTCGATCCGAACCCTTTATTTCGTTCACTGGGGTAGACTGTTCTAGTTCCACGTGCCATGTTTGATGGATGTCAGTTATCAGTTATCTCCTGTTAATTTCCCTCTGAAAGTTCTCCACTGCCTTAAACGGGTATTGAACTCACTGTCTTTGGGTCCTGTCACTGGATCTAATCAACGCCTTTATCCACTGTGCCATGTGTCCTCAAGGAATGAAATAAAGGGTTCGGTTCGACATTCCACCCACCTGAAGAAGGCCGGAGCGTACAACGGCCGAAACGCTGTGAAAAGATATGGCGAAAAAGATGAGGACAATAGTCCGAATAATGTAAATAATGTAGACTTTTACTACAGTGTAACCCGGATATAAGAGACCCGGATATAAGAGACCCGGATATAAGAGAAACCCGGATATAAGAGAGATTTTCGCTGCTCCCAAAGTGTTCCCATACTTACCTAAGCAAAATAGACCAAACCCGGATATAAGAGACTTCTTCCCCGGTCCCGACAACTCTCTTATATCCGGGTTACACTGTATATTAAAAATTAAAGTGCAACACAGAGTTTTATTTTTTTCGATAAGTGCATCCTGGAGTAAAAAAAAAAAGACTGAGAAACACTGCTATAACCCTTTGACAGTATTCCGTTTGCATATAAACACTGTTTCATTTCTTCTGTCTTATAATTGCTTTACTTTGCCTTGCTTTGATTGTATTGTCATTTTCTGGTATTATTTTTAATATTACTTTGATCTATTCATCTTAGTTTTGCTTTTTGTTTTATTGGTGATTTTGTAAATTCCAATTAGAAAGACTAACTAGTTGATTAGGTATCCTAAGAATTTCAATCTGTTTTTAAAGGAAAAGGGGATGAATTTTTTCTTTAATTTTCGAAATTTATTTT